ATCCAGTTGTGTTTCAAAGAAGCTTACTTCGGTTTCCGAGCAAGAGACAACATTAGTCAAGCGGTCCGTTACTTATTCCACCGCTCCAGCTTTTACAGGTGCAATCATAGGATCCATCAGCGGGTGCACAATATTCCACGGTATTGTGAATTGTCGAGAATGAAAGGAAGCGTCGAATTGTTATCGAGAGCGATGAGGACGATTGACATGATTGATTACTGACTTTGCCAACCTTGTCCAGTATTGAATTAATTTTCCCAGCTTCAAACTTTCACTTGATTGATCCATATTTTGATTTCGCTGTGGCTATATGGCCGGTAACCGGTCAAGGTTTTCAAAATACTAAATGGCCAGCAGTCCTGTCTTTTCAGTAAATTTCACAAATCGAAAAACCAAACTATCATATGTCGATTAAGAAAAGTCAAGCGATCCTGAAATGCTTTATAGATCTCAAGAATAGCGTTTAGACAAAACCATGGTTACTTTTTTCAGCTCGACTGCCGGTCAAGGTTTTCAAAACATTACATGACCGGCAGTCCTATATTCTCAGTAAACTTCACAAAATCGAAAAATACCAGCTAATCTAAATTATCATGTCGGTTACGAAAAATCAAGCGATCCTGAAATGCTAGATCTCAAGTATAGCGATTGATTTACGCTGGGCTCAGAAGACGAAACCATGTTTTATGACAGTTACTGGAACTTTTTTCAGCTCGACTGCTGGTTAAGGTTTTCAAAACACTAAATGACCCTCAGTCCTATATTCTCCGTAAATTTCACAAATCGAAATAATCCAGCTAAACCAAACTATCATATGTCGATTAAGAAAAGTCAAGCGAAATGTACTGAATAATAGGACTGCCGGTCATTTAGTGTTTTGAAAACTTTGACCGGCATTCGAGCTGAAAAAAATTCTAAGTGTCACAAAACATGGTTTCGCCCTCTGAGCCCAGCGTAAACCAAACGCTATACCTGAGATCTATAAAGCATTTGAGGATCGCTTGACTTTTCTTTTCTTTTTTGTGACGTCATCTTTTTCAGCGCTATTGCAATCAAAAGATTACGTAATTAACAGTTTTGTATTTGAAAAGAGTTTAAACTGTGGGAATGAAATAACGAATATCGTAATATTTAAAAGAATTAAAGCGCAGGTCCTGGCTAACAAACCAACCCATTTTTGAACCGGTTTTTTGTTTCCTAAAAATGTCTACAAAAATCTATTGAAAGCTAGACCTTTACTAAAATGTAAACAACACATCTTTCTGGGCTGGTATATTATCGGAACCTCCGAGAAAAAGGCCCCTAGGATCGAAAAATCTCAGAAAATATATCCGAAATTGTACACATTTACAGGAAAAAAAAAAACATCAGCTCCTAAAAATTCTCGGTTAATTACCGAGTTTCTTTAAAACTTCGCTTCAGCCACATTTTTCACTGCAAGAACCGAGCAATTAATCGACGTCACGCGCGTAAAAGGAAGTAATATAACTAGATCGACCAATACATTTGCAAATAGTCCCTTTCAAAAGCACAGAGTGCATGAGGCAAAAAGAAAATGACTGCTTATCATACAAACGGAACGGTTGACTGAAAGGAAAGATAGGCGTCGAAACCTTTGAGTTACCGTTTAATATCAACGAAGCGATTCTTACGCATAGAAATCGCTGAGCAACAAACGCAGACTGCAGCCTGGCAGGTAAACATTGTTATGAAATGCTTTAACAGATGCCCTATACCTAAACTAGGCTTCTAGAAGACTTTAAGTTTTAGGGATAGGGAATCTGTTAAAGTATTTCACAATAATGTTAACCCCGTTTCAGTCTGCTAGTCTGCAGTCTGCCTTTGTCGAAAACCGCATACAAAATACATTGTATTTGCCAAAAATAGACTTCGTCTTAAAATTTTAACTTCTCAACTTTCCAATATTTTGCTCATGTTTCTCGTTCTTTGATTCAATACAGGGTAATTTGCGACCCTTCCCTACAATATAGCAACTGACTTGGCAGAAATCGTCACTCAAAACGACAGGTTTCTCGGAGTACATTACGATCAGCGCATACATTCAGGCTTAGCGAAGCGACAGAATTGAACGCAATTCAACTAAACGAGCCGTCGGTCACTTTATATAAATTATAAATAATACCTTTGACATACCTTTTTAAAAATAACTTCCTTTTCGCTGATTCACCAAGAAATAACACTAAATCGACTCCACGTCCTCAGTACGCTGCAAGTGCAGCTTTCCGGGAAAATCCAATACAATCAGAGTGGATGTAACATGAGCAGTTTTCTCGGAATTCTGTCTGGTTCATTTCACCTGCGTGGCTTCTTCTTCTGCGTGGCTTCTTCCCTTCTCGGTCAAAGTCTCCGAGAAATTCCGGGAAAGTAACAATGGCAGAAATAGCTTGTTTAGGCAGATTTCACGGAAATCGATCCGGTTGTTTGCACCTGCTGGCGTGTAACCAAGACTTGGCTGCATTTTTAGTTGAATGATAGATGTTTAAATCTGAAGGAGGAATCCCTTTCAATGTTAATCTTCTATGATCCCTTTCACGTTTCTCGGAAATTGTTTCGGTGCTTTCAAGGAAACACTACTGTTACTAGGCAATATTTAAGAAAATATAACCCTGAATATATGTTGGCGAAGATCTTTTAAGTAGAACTTTTCTTGAGGGTGGTTTCAGGTAAGTGAACAAAACTTTAATCTTTTCTGTGTTTGTATTAAAGGGATAAAACAGTGTCTCCTTATCAACTCTTACCATCTAAGACTTTTACTTGTTTATCGAGTGTCCTCAAAAAAATAGGCGATTTGGGGGCGAGCCTTGTTGAGAGCCATCATATTTATTACGGATGTCCTCATCACGGCTATTTTACCCTCACGTCACGAAACAAAGTTTAAGTTAATGCATGTGTTAATGTGTGAAGTCCAACACAACTATAATGAACAGAGAAAGAACTTGCTCGTGTAAGTGATGAACAACCGTCATGTATGTAACCCTATTTTCTTAAGCCGTTGTTATTGAGGGCGATCTCTCCTCACCTCTAAATCCTTCGTAAAAGTTTCGATGTGTTTATATGAGAGG